TTAATGGCTTCCTTAAGCTTCCTCTTTGTCTTCCAGCCCTGGATCTCCCAGGCTGTCTCCCCTATCACTTTGCAGGAGGATGGGCTCTTGGGCCTGCAGAGCGCTCAGTCAGGGTGACACTGCTGCTGATGCCTGTGTTACCTCTTGATGGGCTAGATCACAGGAACTGTCTCCAAAGTGGTGACTGTTTGTGCACCCCAGCTGAATACCAAGTTGCTCCCTGGCTTTGCCTGTTTATATCCCACAGGTTCGCATAGGGGAGGACACTGTGACTATGTGGTTTGTTTCCTACACAGCATATATTGTCAGGTAATGTGCTTCATTAAAGCTAATCTGTTGTGAGTGCCCAAATTTGTTAACGTGGGCACCATAGTCCAGGACTAGGTAGATGGAGAGTCTACAGTTTGCTGTGGCATGTCTGCTGGTCCGCTGTCATGTCAGATGAAACAAGGCATATAAAAATGAGTCTGGTGTTCAGTTGTCATCTAGGCTGTAGTATGGAGCGAGTTGAGGATGATGCTGGACTTGTGCTTGAATTTTTTCCTGCCAGTAAAAACAAATGTGTTCCCACTTGTTTCAGGGGGGCAGAAGCTTGTTCCCAGTCCTGCAAGCATGGTTCAAGAAAAGGGAGGGGAAAAGCTCCTTTTAAGAACAAAGTGTTCTTGTACTTTGACTATCTGACATTACTGACAATGGAGATCAGTTCACGCACAATAGCTTTTTCTCTATGCTGGGCTGCCTCAGCAAGGCACATGCTTCTAACCGAAATGCAGTATGTACGGGTAGCAGTGTTGAGGATGTGCTTCTGCTGGGTTGTGTTGTGGGTTGCATTTGACCCTTAAGTACTGCACTAGGGACAACCAGCTTTATGTGGAGTATATATTATATAAGTATATATATATTTTTTTTCCTATGTGATAAGGGGAAAAAGAGCAGAAAAGCATGACCAGCTGTACTAATACCAGAGGAATGCAGTACAGCAGGCAGACTACTTGCTATTAGAAAACCTGCTTTCCCCATCACGTAGGTATTCCTTAAAATACATTAACTTGCTTCTGAATTGCCTTACCAAACTAAGCAAACTTTTAGGAAACTGCTCACTTTCTTCTGCCTGTGGCTTCCCTTTCAGTGTTAACAGAAGTATCTCTGGCACATTAGCATTTTTTAAAAAATGTTGGATTACTGCTACAAAGGCATCTCCAGCAGCTGTTTGCTCCTATGAGGAGCTAGCCTGGGCTAGTCACGCTTGTGAAATCGCTTGCCACGGAAATCTTTCCTATAGCTGAAATGCTGGGCACTGCCTCTTGTGATCATCACAGCGCGCAGTATTTCTCCCTTTTTGTTTTTAAACATTGTCAGATAGCTTCCAGTTTTAAATTTAGTGTGTCTTTACCTCTTGGTCTCATTTTTCATGTTAGTCCGTTGCCTCTTTTATAAGCTCTACTATGAGTTGGGGTTGATAAGGCACCTGCAAGCATGCCATTTGAGCTCTCTTGCCAAGCAGTGGAGAAATCCAACCTTTCAGAAAGTGATTTATCTTTCATTAAGGCACATAGAGCAGCCAGTACTACAGAGCAATCTGTTTCTCTGTTTCTATCAGTTTGTAGAAAATCTGGAGGACTAGTTTAGACTGTATGCCTATATATTTGGCAGTAGCGATGAGCCCCGTGAGTGATGATCTCTGCTTGACAGGGTGCAACTTACCTTGTTATGAACTAATTCCAATAGTCTGGGTTTTTTTTCCAGTCTGCTGTTTTCTTTAGGGTGCGCCTAGCTCCCTGAGACAGTGGGGTTGACTTGTGAGCAGCACTTGTACAGACTGCCCTGCTTGCTCTTTCTAATGGGAAAACATTTCTTGTATTTTTAAACTGTATGGTGTGTGTTACTTGTGAAATACTAAGAAACGAGCTAGCCTGAGGGAAGTGAAGTTATTAGGTCACACTTGTGTTAAGAAACAGCCCGGCTATAAACTAACATCATCTTATTGTGTATTTTGGGCTAATGGTTTGTTGATGGCTGCAAGCACTTCAATGCACCGCGGGGCTTGCAGTTAGCAGAGAAAGCATTTCTTGGGTGGTTGGTTTTGCTGGTTGTGCTGTAATGCACGACAGATGCCTGAAGTCTTAGGTGTTTTTCACGTCCTGATCCACCTGGGTTTAATAGCAGCCCCTTGTAACAGAAGCAATTTCTAATAGCTTATTATGCTGCCCTGCAGGGAATGTGCTTTTGCTAAAGAGTGTAACATTATTCAGTAGCTAGGAGGTGAAGCCAAAGGTACTTGCATTGCAGATGACCCTGGCAACGTGAATGGACCTAAACTTGAGAATAGTATACCTGTGGGGGGAAAAAGGACCTTTCAGTGTCTGTGGTCAAACTGTAGGTTGTGGCTGGGGGGGGGGGGGGGGGGGTGGGATGGGCTGTTATGTTCTGTCCCAAGTATGCCAGGCTGCAGTTTCTTCCCATGAACCACTATCAGGATTGCATGTGGTGCTGGGTATAAGGGTGGGGAAGGGAAAAGGAAAATGTGTAAGCTTTTAAATAGGTGAATCATTGTGGGTTTTTGCCTGTTTCCTCTTTAACTCACTGGTCTCTGAAGCAAGCTTTGCTGACTAATGTCGTTGCGCAGTGTCAATGAAGGCCTCTGTGTAATTGGTATCCTGCAAGGACTGCCGGGCAGAGGAGAAACAGAGCTCTGAAGTGAGAGAGTAACTCCGAAGGCTGCCAGCTCAGATGTTAACAAGAAGCATGTCTTGGAGATGTGCCTGATGTGAATGATGCACCCTTGTTTACAGGGCTTGGACTGGCTTTCGGAATAGTATTTTAGCAAATCTGCTGCATAATCTTGAAGTAAATCCCTGGGCTGTATTAACCTAGACCCCAGTCCTATGAAGGCCATTATGCATGTCTTCCACAGATTCAATAATGAAGGCTTCTTGCACATAGTAAGGCTGGCAGAGCTGTGTGTTACCCTCTGCTGGGGTTGCATCACTAATTAATGCAGCATCTTTCTGGTCAACAACTCTGATCTGAAACTGCTGTCAATTTCACAGCATGTTGAACACTGGGATTTCTGATACTGTTGATAAGCAAATGCTGTTAAAGTAACAGCAGTTGTATTCAGAGTTTACCTTACAGTAACAGTTTGAAGCTGGTGTAAAAGAAGCTGCTTGGTATTTCTGTTGCTGATGCCCTTGGTGTTTTCCTGTAAAGCTGGACCCTTTGTTCTTTGGATACCTGTCCACCAGGAAGGACTTGCTATGAAGGTGCTATGAAATCTTCGTTACTGAGGTTTGGAGAGCTTCCAAGGAGGAGCGTTCACCTAAACTAGCATATAAACTTTTGCTCTGAACATGACCTGGCAGTGCCTATAAATAGGGGTGTACCAGTGATCTAACTCCTTATGACTGCACACTTCAGTCATTGTCAGTAATTCTCCCTTCTGAATAATCATCGGGCATTGCTATTAAGCCAGAGGTGATATGAAGGTGATAAACGGGGTGAAAGGCAAGGCTCCGTCTGTTAGGGAAACAGTCCCTGAAGTGTTCCTAATGACTTGACTTGTGATTGATCCTAACGAAGTATCTCTAGATGTGCTTTCATGAAACAACACGTCAAGCTTGGCTTTGGAGATGAGATAGTTGCCTCTCTGGCAACTGTCTTATCTGGACATGAGTTTTTTTTGACATCTCTTGTAAATAATGTGTGAGTCTTGCCTCTGAGGTCTAACTGGATCTTTCTCAAATACTGCATAGGTCCTATATATGTGGGAATTGCTTAATGATGCATAAGTGAAATTGATCTTTTGGCCATTTTGTATAGGCTGTTGGCTTGCTGTATGTTTGGTTTTTTTAAGGTGCTGATAAGTTAGAAGCCTTTCCTATGAGGATGAGGAGGGAAACCTTCTCAGGGAAAGGTTGATATGTTTTTCTTGCCTAATGAAGTGTGGTATCTTCAGACTGTGCCTTGTGTGATTAAAGCATCCAAGCTACTTTGTCCTGAACAGCTGGAATACCAAAATTTCAAAATCAGACCTGTGGTGGTGGTTGTGTAGTTTCTGTGGTCATGCTGCTTTCTAACTTCATGTGTTAGTTCAGTGGGTAGCCCCAGCTGCAGAACTACTTTTAATCTGTTCAGGAGCCTGGTGTTTTATACTTACTCCGCAAAATTGCTTCAGGAATCCCTGCTAAAGACTTAGGTCTGCACCAGGGTACTCAAGACTGCCTGCTCAGCACCAGCTTGCAAGCTGGGAGAAGGCACTTAGATTTGTGTCCAATGTTACTGGTAAGTGATAAATTCAAAAGACCTGCCAGTCTGCTTTTTGCTCATCTCCCAAGTAGAACGGAGGCTATGGCTTATAATTGTTTCATGCTTTTTGATCTCTAATACACAAACATTATTTTCCCCTCTGTGGGATGGATCAGCTTACATTGTGATGACTTTGTAGCATAAAGCTGTTCTTTAGCATAGGAACCAGCTGAAACGGTGATGGATGGTGCAAATCCCTAGCTAGTAGGAAGGAAGGGAAATTGCTCATATTGCTGCATGTGGTGTCTCTTCTGTTTTCCAAACTGCATATAAGCAAACTTTTCACTTGATCAAAGTTCAAATTTTGGCTTTCATAGTGCCTTTATTTCAGGTGCCTGAGAATAGGTGGAAGGATTAGATTAAGTAAAGTTAAGTAAAAATGTCTTGCTGCTTGGTTGCTGGAACGTGCCTAGTTTTTGGTAATATGGATTGAAGGATGAAGAAAGCTGACATAGAGGACTTAAAACTGGTTTGCTGTAGCACCTGGTAGACATGGGCCCTTATGAATGCCCAAAGGCTCCTGGCCAAGAGGGGAGCAAGGGAGGGAGCTGGTCTCCTCCTTGCTAGTTTTATGAAGCATGCTTAAATCCCGTGGGAGATCTGGCATCAAAAGTAAAACTGCCTCAACTATTGACTTGTGGAGCACAAGTCAGCTGTCCCCTGGAGTGCTCTGTGCAACCTTTGTACAAGGTGCCATGCTGGTGTCAAAGCTTGTGGCGGTGCTCCCATCCGAAGGCTTGGGTAGAGGGCAAAGGGAACTACCTTCTCCAGTCTTCCTCTTTGTCCCTGTCCCCACCATCTCCCAGGTGAGGTACTGTAGCTTTCTGGACTTAGATGAACCTGTGGACCAAAGGTCAGACTACTTTGGAAGCAGGAATGTACTTTTCTGAATAGGGTAGATAAATGCATCTAAGCAGTAGAAACTTACTTGGGTTATATGACCGTGAAATTTCTGTCTGCTTTGGGAAGGGTCCACTGCCTCCTTTGCATAGCAAAGTGTCAAAAGATACTGCAGTACAGTACGATGTTACAAGTTTTTGAGCATTACAAAGGCATGTCTCAATAGCCTGTGTCCTCATGGCTTGTGCTGAGGCTCAAATGTTTTGACACTGTCTAGCATGAACTTGTAACTGCAGGATTTCTGTAGCAAGAGCATTGTGAAGGGACTGTTGCGTGCTCTTTCTGAGCACTAAACAGAAACTCTTCTCCCAGGTTTTGCAAAGCAAAAGGTGGCAGTGCTAGGTTTTGATTACCTGTTTGAGAGGATTTGGAAGATGAAAACTTATTTTCTCAGCTAGTGTGTATGGCTGAGACCATTAGCCAAGTATATTCTTACTCTATGTAATAAGTGACTTACTTGCTTACGGATATTTTAATTCGTTGAATACAGTGGTTCAAGTCTGGTCAGAGAATGATTGCGTCAATGTATTTGCTGGTCTGCCTATACCCCCAAATCCATTTAGTAGAAGAAATGTAGAAATGGAGGTATTGTGAATAGTTTCTTCCTTGAACAATGTTTTGTTTTGGTATTTCCCAGAACTTCTATGGCCATGACACTGCCAAGGATGATGTGTAGCCGTAAAGTACTGAGTTACTCCTACAGGTAAAATTAGTTCCTGGAACAGCTATTGTCTTGACAGCAGTAGAACTGAGAAAACAAGTGAATATATTGGCAGGCTAGGTTGTGATTCAGTGAGACCTGATACAGTAAGCAGTCCTGGCTGTTCCTGGGAAGTTATGTGGTGGAGGTAATGTCATGAGTCAGGATACTGACCTGTCAAAAGGGAACTGCATCCCCAAATGCCCCAACAGCTCTGTTGGAGGGGAGAGGTGGGAACTGCATGGTTTAGCATTGGTCTGGGTCCTTTCTGTGCAGACCAGCGAGGACCATCTGTATGCTGTTAAAACAAAGTATGCCTTTGATACTGCTTAAGGACTGGAGAATAAGTTGTTAAGGTTTGAACAGGATATTATCCTGATCTTTTGATATGAGCTCGTTTCTGCCAGGTCACCTGTCTGTCTTGGAAATGCCTATTATAACAGTATTCCTAGAAATAGGATTAAGTCTCGTGGGGAGGAATTAATAAGCATAACGGGGAGTCACAAAGTCAGTCCTCTTTGGCTGAGCTTTCCATCCCTTCACAAAGCTGCCACGTGGGGAAAGGAAGAATCTAAGCCAGAAGGGCTACTCTGTCATCATGGGCAGGCTTTGGGGTGGCAAAGGGGTTGTAATTGTTAACCCAGTAAAAATGAAGCCTGACGTCAGAGGTAGAAGGGCTATTTAAAAACACTGTGTGAAACTGAGTCAGCTGAAGGTCAAGAAAGCCTTTTTGCCCAAGAACAGGTTAAACTGGCTCCAGCCCTATCAGGGCTGAAAATGAGAGGAAGTCTGACACCCATGTGGTTCTGCCATGGGGGTTTGCAGGGAGCAGAGCTGCTGCGAACCTTTGACACTAGTTGGGGAGCAGAACTTACTTTATCACCTATTTCAATCTCATTCTTCCAGCCCATCCACTAGAAAAGAGCAGGTTAACCCCAGTGAACTGGCAGCTCTTCCCAAGGACAGGGGAATAGGCTCTCTGCAGCTGTACACTAGAGCCGATGATTTGGCCTGTTTCTCTGCTGCTCAGAGCTCTAAAATGCCAAGAAATGAGCAGTTGCAGAGTCAAGGGAAATTTCAGGTTTTTTCAGCTTGGAAAAATCCTGCGTGCAGTTCTCTTTGGACTGAGACTGAACTTAAATGAGACTTCCCATGACTGTAAATGCTGTTTTGGTTTTTAGCAGAGTTAGCTGTGTGCAGGCCTCAGTTTGACTTAACCCAGTTAGGACTTTTTTTTGCTTCAGTATGGTGAAACTACTCTGAAAGAAGACAAGTGGAGTTCTGATGTGTGTATTGGCTCTGTGACCATGTGTTGTCTAGCTCAGGGGCTGTTGTCTAGCTCAGCTCCCCGAGCTTCCCATGCGGCCACGACTCGGTGGCTGGTGTGCAAGTAGCAAGGCTGATGGAGGCCTATCAGGCTCTTGGCAGCTGTGTATCTGAACTGGAACTGAAACATCTGTGAAGCACCGAGTTGGCTCTCTGAAGACTGGCAAGCAGACTTGGGCAATACTGACTAGCACGGAGTGGTTTTTTTGATTATTAAATACACTGAGGCAGTGTTTCTTCAGAGGAACCGTGTATGGATTTGTGGACATATCTGAGGAAGATGGGTGATGATTACCTGGTGATGATACTCTTTGAATATCACAACCTGTCTTTGATTAACTGTTGCTTTTTAGGTGACTTTTTTCTTAAGTGAATACTACATTTGTGAAATTAATGTTTTCTTTCTCTTCAACAGTGGGCCACTATACGGATAGAAAAAGGTGTCAAAAAGCCACAGCCACAGATGCTAAAGACTCCTACTGCTAATGGTGAGAGCTCGGGGTAAAGTCAAATTGATAAGACTAATGTTCTAAAGTAGAAGAACTGAGTCCTTTTCAAATGGAGAAGTTAGATGTGTGCATGAAAGAACTGGAGAAGAGGTGGGGTGGTTACAAGCTGTTACATCTAACTGTTTTGCAATGCTACTGGCACAAGAACTGTTTCTGCAGAATGAAATGCTTCTTTTACTGGCTTGTGCTGAATGGTTGAAAAATCAGGGGATGAGGAAATGAAGGGTATGAAATAACATTAAGTTTAACAAAACAAAGTTGAGCTTAAGATGGAGACTGTCTTCAGTTGAGGGAAACTTTCGAGTTACAATATGAGCTTGATTTTTGTCTTGAAATCTGTCTTTAGGTTACTGCTTGCAGGGCTGCTGGCCAACTATCTCAGTCCTAACAGCATCAGAGTACACTTAATCTCTGAGGAGATGTGAGTGTTTAGTGGACAGCACTTTTCTTTCCCAAGCTGAGTACTTTTTCTGTTGTAGGACTGCTGGATGGAAGTGTGTGGTGTTATACTTGTTCCCTTTTTTCAGTCTGCTGCTATTCACTTTTTGCCCCCTGGAGTTATCTCAGTGTTTGCCAGACAAACTTCTTACACTCGTTATCTGTAGAAAGACAGCTGAAGAGTTGCTTAATTTCTTCCTTTAGCCTAATTTTGAAATTAGTTCTTTTACTATATCTTAACCCATACTGCGCATGTGTCATGGTAGGCTGTACTAGGTCAGAGTTGGCTGTAAGACTTTGGAGCTGTAAGCACAGTGAGAGTAGTCTGAGTTTGTCCAGGAAATAGGAGAAGGCTGAACAAGGCATTGCAGCCAGTGCTTGGTTTTCTCCTGGTTCCTGACTGCCTTGGTATTGCTATTGATTTGCTTGTTTTTGACAGCGTTTGACAGCAGTGTCAGCATTTTCTGTGTGTCCCTCATTAGGCAGCATAGCTGGAAACAAGACCAGCTTGCCAGTTAGTAGACCAAGTCAATTGTTACTTGATTCTATGAATTAGCTCATGCGAACATGATACAGTAAAGGGGACTGAACTGCTGAACTGGTTGTGTGCGTTTCCTCTCCAAAGGAGTATCATTATCAATACTGTAAACACTGGTGTTGTACTATTTGCAGGCCAGGCATGAAACAGGCTCTGATGGTAGCAGATCCAATTGTCAGTTAGCACCTGTAATAATAAATTGGAGGTACTGCACAGCAGTTCTTAAAACAGGTTAAAATTTGTGATTTATTTTTATTTGTGATTTAATTGCTGACTCTAAAGTGGCTGAGAAAAAGTATGTCCTGTATCACTCACCAGTGTCCTGAAAGTTGTGGGGTTTTTTGGGGTGGGGAGAAGGCAAGGTGAGTGATCCTTCCAAATAATGACAGTGCCCTGCTATCTGTTTCACAGGTTGTATCAGCAAGACACCCTTTTTCTTCCTGTATGGGTGATAGTGTCCCATCATGTCGGGGTCAGTGAGAGGGCAAGAGATTCAGCTGTGCTGCTTTAGCCACACAGTAGGAGCTCTTGTCTTCCTAGACATCTGATCATTCTGGCATGTAGCTTTTTCTTCTCTAGAAAAGAAAGGTAAAGGAAGAGAGGACCCAGCTAGTAGATCATGTTCTATGAGCTATCTTTCCATAAAACTACAAGTACCTATTCCCCCTGTATGTGTGACTGAGGGATGTATAGTGCTAATATGTGCTGTAGTTCAGAACCTGGACTAATCTGAGTGCACTCCACTGTCTGGAGTATTAGTGATAGTAAAAATGGCCTGAGGTAATTCATATAGATGATTGCATGCAGGCTACGTTCAAGTAGTCTTATGGATGGGGATACATGATTGCAATGGTGGCCTGAAGCACACTTTTTAATGTCCTTTTTATATTTGAAATTAAAATTAAAACCTTTCCCCACTGTAGGCAGCTCTTACTGCAGTAAGCTGGAGTCTAACTATTCCCTACTTGAGAAGGTATGGGGAGCAGGGGAGATGTGGAGTCTGTAGTGCCAAGCTGTGCTCTGTATATTGCTCTTGGGAGCTTTTTAAGCATAGGACTAACAGACCTGTGATTAGGAGTCTGGGTTCCTGTATGTTGATGAAAGTACTTGAGGGCCAGGGCAGGTGTAGGTCTAACAGTGCAGTATATAAGTTGGCATCCCCTGAGGTGACAGAACATGAGCAGATGGAGAGGCCCAGTTGCATTACACAATATTTACTGAGGGAGGAGAAATTCCTGGTGATAATGCATTATGGAGTAGCTGATTAAAACGGGGTAAAGGTAAGTGTCTATGTGTGTGTACGCATGTGTGTTAAGTGCTGAAGGGGAATGTGTAACACCTTTTCCATCTTTCCTGACCATCCAGTCCACACTAGGAGGTGTGTCAGGATGGGAGGGAGCATTGCAGATGCATGTGCAAGGGCAAGTTTTCCTGTTCCCAGGCAGAGCAAAAATGGTCCCCCCCAAAGACCTTAAAATCCAGTGTCCCTCAATATGAAAGACAAGAGGGAGCATGACTGAGGTGACACCACCTTTCTCTGCAGTACCAAATCCAGTGTATTTCACATCTGTTGGCAGAAATGGCAGCCAGTGCCCCTGCGTTGGTGGTATGATAAGGAATAGTCCCAAGAAAAATGTTGGCTGGTGTAGTTGCTGTGTGGGGAATTACCTGGTGCTGTCACTTCAAGGTCCCTCTGTGTTAGAGAGCAGCGTGTTTATGTGCTGGGCCCAGTGGTAGCTCTTGGCTGAGCAGATACTTGGAGGTTAGTCTATCTCATTGCAGCTGAATAATTAGCTCTCAGCTGTTAGTGTGGGTGTTGGCTGTGTCGAAAGGCAGTCCTCTTCAAGTTGGTGGGTTTAAAAAACACAAAAATGCTGTTAATTCAGAGTTTTGGAAGTGACATCCACTAAAAGAAAAGCTTATGCAAATAATGTGACTGTAAGTAGTGTCAAATTTGAGCCTGATATAATTAGCTGACTATGTGAGCTTGAAGGCTTGGGGCTTGTGCTGTGACACTGAGTAAAGCAGCGGCTATGGCTTTTTTGGTTGAGAGGGGTGTTTGCTGTACTTGTGCATAATGCTGCCTTTTAGCTGTCTTTGGCAAACTCAGCTCTGCCCATGGCCAAGGGATTAAAGGCCATTAGATGTTACTTCTGATTAAAAGAAGGCTAAATACATCATCTGAGCAGCATGTGTTTAATTCTGTTCATAATATCTTCAGGTGCTGCTGAGAATCTTGGCTTGGGGTAGCTTGTCCCAAGGCTGCAAGACAGCTTGTGCATGGGGGTGTTGTGTGATGATGACAGCACAGGCTGTGCTATCTCAGCTGTGCCAGCAGTGTGTTAAACTTGAACCCTGGGCTGGTTTCAGCCAAGAAGTAGGAGCCAGGAGAGCCAACTGCTTGGCTGATGCTGAACTGGGGACTGGATAAGGAGGAAGCGTTCCCAGTTCTCCTGGGAACTGGAGAGAAGTGGTACTTGTGTGACGGGTGCTGGAGAGTTCCCCTGGCCAGTTTCTTGGCTACGACTTGCCTCCCACCCCAACAGCAGCACGGAGCAGACAGATTGGGCTGACTCGCCTACAGTCCTGGATGTTTCACAGCTTAGAGGTTTAAGGGAGTGACTGAGAGAAAAAATGAACCACAAACTAGAGCTCTGGTTTGGATTTAAAATATAACACAAGTATAGTCCATCCTGCTAAATGTTTGATGTGTTGTATGTTTGTTTAATTTAGATCCTGAAGGGCATGTGGGTGTTTGGGTGTGCCATATTAACAATTCATATTTATAGGCTAGTGATAGGACAATGCACTGAGATCGTCCGCTGGTGGAATTGCAAGTTGTGGCTGCTGAGTTCAGAGCTGAAGGTGCTAATAGGTTTTGTTGCAGTGTGGCATCTCTTGCACATTGTTCTTTAGTGTTTACCTCGGTGACCTGTGGGACTTGTATCCTGGAGCTTCTTGTTTTATCCCGTATGTATGCTACAGTGCAATACAAAGATTTTGCATGCTACTTGTAATTTAAATGTTGTGTGTGATTTGCACAGCAAATATATTCACAGAGTTTTTCTGCTGGCAAGACTTCCTTGGGATGCAGATTTCCACGTGGGATGCATATTTGTGGGAAAGTGCCTAGTAGCTTAAAACAGTTGGGTGCTTCCTCCTTTCCCATTTTTTATCTCAACATGGAAGCACAGAGATTATGCAATTTGTCAGAGGGTGTCTGACAGAGTGGTAACCTGAACTTGGACCTCTGTAATCCTAGTTGCGTGTCTCAGGGGATGGTTGTTCTGGTTAAATGTTACTCTTGATTTCTTCAGTCATCAATTTCTGGAGCCAGACTTGCTTACCAGAAGGCCAGCTACTTGATCTTTATATTTAGCTTACACAATTTGTCGTTGCCTTTGAAAGCTGTGGTGAGAAATTGGGTCTTATCAGACCATAAGTATAAAAAACAAAAAAGGGGGAGGTGTAGGAATACTTGCTATTTGTACTGCAATTCTGAACTCTCCAGGTTTCTTTTCTATTGCTGGGCATTATGTGGGCAGAGTTCAACTGAAACAACTGTTAGTGCTGAACTAAATTATATCAAGGCACCTTTAGGCACAACTTTTTGACATTCGTTTTTTGGAGGGTTTTTCTTTGATTTAAACTAAAATAAAAGTGTTGTCCTCTCTGTGCTTATAGAAAAGACTTGTGCTGTGAAGGGAGGGAGGTGCATTTGGTTCAAAGCTGATCCGTGCACAGATGTCGGGTAGCAGTTGTGGTCTGGGGCTTTGGCAGATAGCAGTAGAGCACGTCTCAGCTGAATGTGGCTGTGGGATGCCAGAATGTCTGACAAGAGACGGGCCTAGGGAACAGGGAAGCCTCCATGGAGGAGGCTGAATGTGCTTAAATACACAGAGCACCAGGAGAAGGGAATGGAAAGGCCAAGGTCTCACTTGGTTTCCTCTGGAAGCATAAGATGGTGTTGGATAAAGTTGCTGAGTTGAGGGCTTGTCAGATGGTGGGAAAGGGTTTGCCTTCTTGCTTCACCTTCAGTAGGCAACAGAACTTGATATATTTGCTGCTCAAGGTGTTTATGTGAGGAAGGAGAGCTAGAACTGGCCTACTGAAGAGTATGCTGTGTTCAACTACCCATCTGATCTTGCTATCGTAGGAGGGGCTCTGTCAGTAAATTTGTCTCCTTGAGTAATGCAGAGCGGCAAGTGATTTGGAGGATGACTGTTACTGTGTAGAATTATTTCCTCATACGGTTACCTTCTCCTTCCCAAGGTATCATTGAAAGAGATGAAACGCCTATGGAGAAAGAAATTGCACGTCTGCATCAAGTGGACTTCGAATTCTCTGACATATTCTACTTCTGCAGAAAAGGGTTTGAGGCCATTGTGGAAGATGAAGTTACCCAAAGGTTTTCTTCCGAAGAGCTGGTCTCCTGGAATCTCCTCACAAGGACTAATGTCAACTTCCACTACATCAGCCTGAGGCTGACTGTTGTGTGGGTCATTGGGGTTATAGTGCGATACTGCTTCCTGCTGCCCCTACGGTAAGCTCATGGGTGCTGAGGGATTTTGTCAGTCTGGGAACACGTAAATGTGTGTTTTCTTGGGAAACATCATCTCAGCTTTTTTAACCCAAAAGCAGCATTAGCAGATACAGAAGATGAACTGGCTTAAACTCTCCTTTGAATGGTTAAGAAGCCATTCAGAACATTTTTATGTTGCCATTTACTGTGGAGAGTAGATTAGGGCTAGTGGTCATCTTTTCTGTGAATGCTTCCCCTAAGTCGTGTATTTGCAACATAAGTGTAAGTTTGGGCGAGCTCTAAAACTCCCTGACAATATATGCATTGGGGTATCTGAATCTGCTGCCTTTGCTAGACCATGATTTTGAGCAATGTGTCAGGGAATTACTGAGTTAGAGAACTGGGTATGTCAAGTATCTGAGGAATAATTGAATTCCTGCAATCCCTTTCCATTTTAAAGGGGAAAGTGATATTAAAATGAGCAAAACTACTTATTTTGATTTAATGTCTATTTTGTCTGTAGCTTTACCCTTGCTGCCATTGGGATTACCTCAATGATTGTGGGGACAACCATGGTAGGACAGCTGCCAAACAGCAGGTAGGTACTGTGTTTGAGGGACGAACTTGCCAAGTTGCATCAGTGCAAACAGCTCAAGATTAGGACTGGAGAGATTTTACATGTGATAGACTACTGATAGTCCATTCCACCCACAAACTTGTGGCCTTGCTTTTAGTGGCATTTTGAACTTGGGCTGAGGTTGGCTTCTTGGCACGCTTGGCACTGAGGTTGGTGGTTTCTGATGGGCTCCTCTTGCTGTCATGAGAGACTCAAAGGGAGTGTTGTAGGGAAGATAACGGTGCTGGGATAAAAAATACGCAGTGAGGAGATAACAGCATTGCCTAGGTAAGTGAGACCAAGAGTATGACGCGTCTTGGCTGAGCTGCTGTAGCAAGTGCGTGGTAGAGCTAGGAATATCCCTCTGCTCCAGAGTACTAGGAAAATTTCAGCCCTGAGTTGTGTTGAGTAGGCTGGAGAATATTGCATGTGTGTCTAGCTGCTTTCCAGAATCCTCCATATGCCTGTGATTTCTTTCAGTGTGAAAAACTATCTGAGTGAAGTGGTCCACCTCACGTGCTCCCGCATCCTTGTCAGAGCTCTGTCTGGTACTATCCATTACCATAACAAGTGAGTGAGCTGATGTTATGATAGCAAAAGTGTGTGTATACTTCTGTGTGTGTGAGTATCCCATTTGAAATGGGGCAGCTCTTTCCTGACTCACCTGGCAGCTTTATGGAACTGTTGTGTATGTAATGTGGTGCTTAGTGTACTAGTAGTCTAACAAAAAATTATGTAATTACAGGGAAAACAAACCTCAGAAAGGAGGAATTTGTGTTGCCAACCACACATCACCGATAGATGCGATCATTTTGACAAATGATGGATGCTATGCAATGGTATGAGGAGATCCATGATGACCACAGCAGAGGGAGAGAGGCCAGGAAAGGGGAAGATTGCGGGGTATTGGTTGTGGAGTTCAGTACTTAACTTTCACAGTAGATAGGTTAACTTGAGCACTAGTCAGTGGGGAAAAGTATAAATTGTGTTGAAGTTGGTCTACAAGTTACATGCTGATGAAGCTGTCCTGGCAGTGTCAATGGCTCTTCATCTGGTGAAATACTTGAGGTACACTTCCATGCATGTGTCTAGATCCTTTCAAGTGAATGCATTTTAATAGTTTTTGTGGGCACTGCCCAATCCTGGTTTGCAGTCTCCAGTGTGTTTGGGTTTTTTTGAGGGGGTATGCAGAAGAGGAAGTTTTGCTTTTCAGGTGTCTCGTATGCTGATGTGCCTTATTGGGCTTGCAGGTTGGCCAGGTTCATGGTGGACTGATGGGAGTTATTCAGAGAGCCACAGTCAAGGCCTGTCCTCACGTCTGGTTTGAACGCTCGGAAATCAAAGACCGCCATCTAGTGACAAAAAGGTGAGGTGTGGGTTGGAGCGGGGAATTGCAGTGCTAGTGTAACTCCAGTACCTACTAGTGCCTGAGAGGCCATGCCCCGGTATGTAATCCCCGATGAGTCATTGAACAATCAAAGACCCAGATGAGGAATTAAAGCTTTGGAAAGACAGAAGCCCAAGAAGCTGATGAGGTTGCAATGGGAAACAGGGAACTTAGAACCTTGGGATCTTGAGAGGGCAAAAGGCTGACTTGTGAAAGCATCATCTTTTAGCAGGAGCCGTATCTAGTTGTCTTATTCCAAATGATGACTGCTGCTTATAAATGCTAATCACAGGGATATGAGTTATCTGTAATTCCACGTTACTGTAGGCTGGAATAATGTGGGGTATTGCAAATCGGTAGATGTAGGTAGGAGTTGGAAGCAATCAGTATAGTAGTGGCTCAACAGCAGTTCTTGGTGTGAGTCGGAGGGGTGGTATGCAGCAAACTGGATCATTCAGAATGACCCAAATGTGCTTGCTTGTGTGGGCTTTGGTACAGTAGACTGATCAAAATGTCTGGTTCCCAGGTCACCAAGGAAGGCTTGAAAAGTTTATACAGGGTGAAACGGTTCAGACAGAAGGTTCTGGTAAGGTCTGGATTGCAGCAGACTGTCACAAAACATCTCATTTGGGTAGCCATCATCATAATAACTAATGGCTGATGAATTCAGATACACATTTTGAAAGGATGTGAAGATACTTCAAATTCTGGGATTTTCTGCTAAAGAGAAATACTGATGAAAAAATGAGTTTTCTGTGACACGAACTGTCTTGACTTCATTCGAAATTGTGAGCCACTAGAAATAACAAGCTTTGCTTGTTTGGGTGAGGGGCAAAAATGTGTCTAGTTAAAAAACTGAGCTGCTTACAAAGGCAGTTTTCTGCAGAATGTCACCAAAGGCATACCCATGAACACTGTAGTACAGTGATAAAATTTAGAAAGAATTTCTAAAGAACTTTTAGGTTAATTTTGACAGGTTAACTTCTTCACCACCTCATTGGCCTCTGTGCAGTGGGACAGCTTTGTCAAGTCATCCAAGCGTTGTTCAAGTAGTGTGAGCTGTAGGCATTTAGGAGTCCTCTTTTTAAGAAATCTGCTGTTAAGTAAGCAGAGCCTGGATGGGCCACGGCACAAGACTTTTTTTTTTCTTATGTAGGCAATTTCTTGCAGGTTGAGTTGATGAGAGTTAATTGGACTGACTTAATGCATACATTTATTGGCTTCCTTGACAGTCATTAATAAAATAATATGAAGGAAAGAAAACAGGACGTTGCCTCAGTGTAATGCACCAGGGGCCTAAGGGATGGCTTGCACAAAGCTTCAGATTTGTCAGAAACAGAAAGGCAAGTACAAATTAGTGTCCATAAAAGGCTTTGGTTTCAAACAAATGTGTTATATGTAACGATATTTTTAATGCACCTGCCTGGGGAATGAAGAGTGGAAAGGAGCTATTTTGTAAGCTTTCCTTCTGCTTCCACAGACTCAGGGAACATGTGGTGGATAAGAGCAAGCTCCCGATCTTAATTTTTCCAGAAGGTAAGAAGCTGAACTGCTCCTTATCTCCATTCAGTGTAGATGTCATCCCTGTTCTCTTTTCATGGCTTCTGGTGCTCAAATGTATCTTAACCTCTGGCTTAGATTTAATTAGGGCATTCCTATTTTTCATCTTTAATATTAGATTACACGAAGACAACACAATACTGTCCCTGGCTGTTGGGTCTCCTGGCAGAAGCTGTAGGCAGAAGAATGGGAAGATTTTCTTGTGCCCTGTGAATATCAATTCACTGTCCTACAGATCTAACCTCAGCCTTGTGCTTTGTCTCGCACATACCCTGGCTTCATTCAGGGAGTCAGTCACAAGACAAAGAGTGAAAGCAATCGGGGAGAGATGCTTAAATTACCCATAAAGGGCCTGCATTTGCTCCTCAGTGAGTGTAAGATCTGTATGTTGATGTGTTGCTGCTGAAATGTGGTAGGCTGTGTGAAGTAATGACTTTAGTTTCTCTTCTGGACAGGCACCTGCATAAACAATACATCTGTGATGATGTTCAAGAAGGGGAGCTTTGAAATAGGAGGGACAATCTATCCTGTTGCAATCAAAGTAAGTGGAAATAGCTGGCTGCTGAATTTCAAAGTTTGGGATCTGTTTTTGTCAGGGTGGTAGGAAGCTGTCTCAGTACAGCTCCTAATGAAAGCACAGTAGCTCTGGCAATTCGCTACGTGCTGTAGATGACTCCTGGAGTGTAAGTGGCTGAAATGAGAAAGTGAAGTCCTTCAGCCTATGGAGCCTGGCTGGTAGGACCTGGTGGGGTCAGCTTCTTCCTCTGGAAAGCTGGAAGGAAGGGAGGTCCAGCTAGTCCTTCCCAGTGCTGAAGGGAAGAGAAGCATGCAGCTTGCAGCAGACTTAGCTCTTTTGGCTGTTCAGGCAAATGGGTGACATCTGCTGCTGGTTCTGTCATGTAATCACAAGCAGCACTAATAAGCACAGGCTAATTTTTCTAAAGCCTCATTCTAAGCAAACATGTCAGTTGTGAATTTTCTCTGAACTCTGGCATATGACTGAAAGCATCCACCTCAGATCTGAGACAGGCTGTGATCATCTGTGGGGAAAGGGTTTTATTATTTGTTTTTTGTGATCCCTTTACAGTATGATCCTCAGTTTGGAGATGCGTTCTGGAACAGCAGCAAATACAACATTGTGAGCTATCTGCTGCGAATAATGACCAGCTGGGCCATTGTTTGTGATGTGTGGTACATGCCACCAATGGTTAGAAAGGTAATCTAGCATCTGGTTGACTGATAACTATTTAAGAACCTGACTGTGTCTGCAAGTGCCTCTTTTTACTCTTTTTCCCCAAAACCCCTACCCACCCCGTGTCTCCAAATCGGAGTTTTATACTGAACTTCTGTTAATGTTGACCGATGTATGATTGGACTTAGCTTTTCCTAATGCAGCTTGGTACCATCAGCAGTGCATCAAATATGCAAAGGATAGCGGTAAATATACTGCTATTCACAGTAGCAATGCTGTTAATGTTCCATCCTGTTGGAGCAAAATTTTCCCCTAATTTCAACACTTCAGGGGAAAAATGAGTTAAATTATTATCACATTGGAACATCAGATTGTGTTGGCATGATAAGGGATGGATTGTTTGGCAGTGAACTAATTTGATGAGGCAGCAGATGAAAAGTGTTGTGGAAGTCTGTTTCAATTTGCTTCTCTCTGCTTTGATTATGTTGAATTTATGACCCTTGAAGGAAGGCGAAGATGCTGTTCAGTTTGCCAACAGAGTGAGGTCAGTCATTGCTCTCCAAGGAGGACTGACTGAACTTCCCTGGTGAGTGATGCCATCCTTGTTAGACTTCACGGACTATCTGTTGTTAGTTTGATTGAGAGGTGCTTCCTCCCTTAGCTTTGTGACAAATAACATTCAACATAACTTTATTCTACTCGGGAGAAAATGAGGGAGTAACTTCACATGCACATACGTGTATGTGAAACTAAAAATAAAAAAGATGCATGAAGTCTTTGGAGCATGTAGCTCTCATGCAGTGAGTTTCACCTAACGGCTTGATGCTTTTGAAGAGGGCCCCTTCACAGTTGTTTTCATGTTGAGACTCATGCTGAGATTAAGGAGCAGAAATGAAGTTACTTGGCAAAACTGATGAACAACAAAAAATAAAACATGGGGTTTGAGGCTTTCTGCTCCAACTTTCTCGTGTCCCACCTCAGTAAGTAGCAGCATAATGCCTAGATTTCATAGGACTGTATGAAACAAACTGGAGAGCAAGATTCTGATGAAGAGAACGGGCAAACGGATTCAACTATGAGGCCCAGCTGGCCCTCTGATATAAGGCAAGAGACAACTATGGTGTTGCACAAGATTGCCTCTACAGTCTAGGGAAATAGCATCCCAGGTTGGCAAAGACTTCTATGGTAGGTGCAACCTGTTAGCAACATGACTAGCCTGCTTTAACAGGCTAAACTCAAAATTTGGACTGCATAAGCGTTATGGCCTAAGGTAAAGGTTTTAATAAACATGCTTAAACTTGGATGTTCTAGAAGTTCTGAAGAAAGCCTTCTTAATAATCTTTTAGGTTAAGACTCTAGACTTGACTAAGATCACTAACATAATACATAGTTTGATAACAATAGTGGTAACAATCATGATGGGTTACTTTCCTCTCTTGCTTTGTTCCAGGGATGGAGGTCTGAAAAGAGCGAAAGTCAAAGATACTTTCAAAGAAGAACAGCAGAAAAACTACAGCAAGATGCTAGTGAGAAATGGATCAATAGGAAGTCTGTCTACAGGAACAGAGTCAGACTGAATGGTTGTTCTTGAAAACTAATTTTGCACAACCAGCCTTAGCAGGAATGTTTTTAATTTGTGGTGGTGTTTTTTTGGGTTTTTTTGGTTTGTTTTTTTTTTTTTAAAAACTGGAGCAACAAAATCCCTCATCACGTGTATGCATATTCTCTGTATGGCTGGTGCAGAGCCTGCCAAGGGCAGTGTCTCTATCTCTCCCTTTTCACTCTTCCCACTCCCCTGCCCCTCCCAATCTTCATGTGATGATGCACTGCAGCTCCTGGTATTCTTTAGCTGAATGTGTGGAGAGTTAAGAGACAAAAGGAAAAAAGCACCACATTTTTTCCTGAGTTTGTAAGGTTGAAGGGAAGTACACTGAACAGATGTTGTCAGGACACTGGTGTGAAGATACCTCTTGTTCGTGGTACTTTGAAGCTTTAAACATAACAAAATTTTGTCTTTTTTCCTGTTGCTCACAGACTTTTAGTTGTAGATGACTTAAATAACATGTTTTAGGATGTTGTCAGAACTGTAAGATTGACTCTTTCGGTTAGCTTGCACCTGGATGTGCAAGGGGGGAAGGGAAGCAAGAGCTGCAGACCCTAAAGAATGGGAAAGGAGCTGCCCTGCCAAAGTCACAGTTCACGGACCACGAGGAATTTGGTGGCCTTATAACATGGTATTGCCTTTATTGAGAACTGCTACCTGAGGGAAGATAAGGGGCAAGTCCGCAATCTCCCTGTCCACTGCTGCTGTCAAAATTGCATTTTTGAGATCTGGAGCTATAAAGGTAAGATACAGTAAGCAGCTGGATAACATAGGCTATGACAGATGAATTTTTATGAAGTGGGTTTTAAAGACTACCCTTTTGCAAAAATTGCTGCTAATGGCTTAAAGATCTCAAGAGAGCCACTCCAGAAACACATTTTGTGTTGAACTGGGCTAGCAATAGCTATCACAACTATAAACATAGGATCCATAAGTCACCTATGATACAATATGTGTCGTGTTCAAATCTGCAATATACTGCTGTCTGAATGTAAAGAGAAATAAATTCTATATTTCTAATGGGTCTTGTGTGGCATTTATACTCTTCTCTAAATGTGCGTAAATAAAACAGTTAGTTATACTTCCCAAAAACTTAAAATTAGGGTCATGGAAATTTCAGTCACTGTGACGTAAAGGACCAGTTGCAGTTGAGCTCTTACCTGGTTTCTAACCTTTTTTCCTTTCCCCTGCCCCCCTCCCTGGACTCTAAGGAATGCTTAGTGTTTATCCTTTCTAGAGTAGGAGTGACTCATCATGCAGACTGAACTTGAAATTACAACATGAAGTCACATCAGGGAGACTCAACTCGTGAATCTATAATTAGCTGGAAAACAACTATGAGCTGCTAAATTTGTGACAAAGTGTGAGTTCATTTCTAAGTAGCCTTTTCCTGTAGCAAAGAGATTTTCAGTTTAATGCTGAAAAAAAAAATTACTGTTCCACAGCTGATAATCAAGTTTAAAAATCTGTTAGAACGTAGTCTCCCAAAAAAGGGTTCCTGATCTGTTTTCCATTATCCCTCAGTCCATGTACTTACACAGGGAAAAATATATTTATTCACTGAATATTATATAGGCATGCAGGATATTGTACTCTGTCTTGGAAATCTGGTTGTGAAGCGTGTTGGAGGTGTGTCACCTTGGAAGAAAACATTGGGAAGGGGCTCTTAGAGAAATGCTTTCAGGTTTAGCATGGCAGGCCTTTAAGAACAAAACTGTTTATATTAAAAGGGAGGGTTAGAGTGGTAAGACAAGTGAGACACAGCAAAGGTGTTTTGTTTGATGTGAACCTAGTTCTACTTTGAACGAAGTTATATTATTACTATTAAGATTAACTGGTCATGCAAGCTTTGGGCTAATGAATGTGTTTGTCATAGTTTATGGATATTAGCTGTGAGCTTGAGCTTTCCTGGATTGCACTCGTGGTAGGAAGCTTTGTAAGGACAACTTACCTTTTTAAAAACATGCCTGCATGTGTGCACATGCATACATGCATAAAACAAAATACAATTTAGGTAACACATTTAAAAATCTATTATGTATAAATATTGGTGTGTGTATATAATATTTCTTCTAAGGTATAGATTGCTACGTATTCCTCTGTAGATGGAACAAGAATGTTTTGGTGAAGGCTTAAATACATGATTCCTAAGAGAATCTTCACAGTCAGTTTATGGGCTGATGTCCCTCTGCTTGCTTTCTCCCTTTTGGAGTTGATCATCAGTAATTGAACTGCAGTTCTTTTTGAAATCTTAACTGCGCTCACTGGGATGCCCTGTTAGGTGCACATGTTTACAGCAACAGGATTGTGAGCTTTGGGAAAAGTGCCAAAGACTGCAGTTTGCTTCTTACTTAGGGCAAAACTGGATTTTAAGTCAAAAAGCCCTGTTAAGTCAAAGGATTATGACAATAAGGTAATACAATGACATTGTAATGAAGTGTTGTCTGGCAAGCCAAATGGAGTTTCGTGACTTTTTTTTAGAATCTGTGACTTCAACAGATTTACAAATAGCCTATACTGAGCTCATTGTTAAACAAAATCTGCCTTATTTTGGAGAGAATTTATCAAGAAAACGTGCAGATTAGCTGTATGAGTGGCACTAAAGACTGCATGAGTAAAGTATATCTGGCCATGAGAAGAGGCATCACTCAGTTCTTAATTGCTGCATGAGTGGAGAAGATGTAGGCAAATGAAAAAGCTGATGAGGTTTCTTGAACCTGCACTTGCTCATACATCTTTACTTAGGAAAATGTACTCTTTCTTGTTCTTTGACTCCATTCCTGGCAAGACTTGATAGGTTTTTGGTGTTGTATCCCTAGACTTCTCGTATATCTCTGTAAATGTGTTCAGGGAGGCTGTGTGAGCAGTCATGACTATTAATAGATGGTTCTGGACCATATCCCAGATTTGTTACAGACATGAGATCCATGTTCTTTGATTTTGGAAATCCATGTTCTTTGGTTTGGAAATGAGTTTATTAATTTTGGAGAAGTATTTTTATAGGGCAGCAATGTATACCACAATGGCTAATAGCAGAAGGACAGTGAATAGAAGTAGACCACTTGGCTCAATGCCTGTTAAGCTACTCTTCTTTCTACTGCCTTTGGAAAGCTTTTTGTACATTTTTTTCCTCTTCCCCTGACAAATCTGGGAAACGTTGCAGCTGAATTGGGTTGGATCAGTAGAGACAGCTCAAGAAGTCCATGCAGCAGTTGAACTTTGAGGTCTTAGTTCCTAGTGCTGGGCACACAGAGCATTGATTCTTATTTAAGGACCTAAATACATACTATTTTTTGTTTAGATTGAGAGGAAGACCTTTGAGTTTAGAGAAGAGGTGGTGCCTTTCAAGCTCTGACAAAACTTGTATGTTCCTCACTGGCTTTGGGGAAAAAAAACCAGGTAGTTGGTTTTAAAGATGGTGATAGAATCCAATTCAAATGTCACTAATTCTTTTCCCATTGCTGAAATCTACATGCTATTTCTACCTCGAGCACAGTGGGTATAGCCAAGGGATCTGTCTGTATCCTGTTAAGTTACTCTGCCTCTAATACATTAAACATGCAGGCTGTTATTATAGAAAACTCATGCTTGACATGGAGATTAATGGAAATACTCAAATCGAGAGTCCTTGGAAACTTGTTACTAAAAACTCAATATTGGCTCTGGAAGTTCCTGGGCCAAAATCCAAATTATGTTTTACCCTGAGATTTAAGGTACTTAAAAATGTCCTTGTCCTCTCCACTACTGAACAGATTGATAGAGGTTTCTAGTTAAGATTTAGGTGGTGTTCCTCTCCCCCCCCCCAATATTTATCTGATATAACTTGTAGAAGACTTAAGCACCAGGCTGGCAAATGTGATATTTCCCTGCTCTTCTTTGTTTTGACTAGTACTTCTCAAGAATTGGACAGTCCAGATATTACCCAATCTGCAAATTCTTGCTTGAGGAATGGAAAGGATTTTAAGCAGTATTGAGGTATTTAAGGAAAGAGCCAAAGAATGCCCTAAAGACACATAACTAAGATGAAAGCAGACTTCAGCTATGAAACCTTGTCCAAGGTACTAGCACTAATGCCCTAGAAGGAGGTTCCTAGTTACTGATTTTTTTGTGGATATTGGACATTAAGTAGCTAAAAATTCATCAGTACTAGCACTAAGGAAGCCTGATTTTATATGCAATTGTGCCTCAACTTAGACTGCAAGCTCTAATTGAAGTTGTGGTATAATACGTTGTTTTCATAGAATCATAGAATGGTTTAGGTTGGAAGGGACCTCTGAAGGTCATCTAGTCCAACCCCCCTGCAATGAGCAGGGACATCTTCAACTAGATCAGGTTGCTCAGAGCCCCGTCCAACCTGACCTTGAATGTTTCCAGGGATGGGGTATCCACCACCTCTCTGGGCAACCTGTTCTGGTGCTTCACCACCCTCATTGTAAAACATTTCTTCCTTATATGTAGCCTGAATCTACCTTTTAGTTTAAAACCATTCCCCCTTGTCCTATTGCTACAGGCCCTACTAAAAAGTCTGTCCCCATTCTTCTTGTAAGCCCCCTTTGAGTATTGAAAGGCTGCAACAAGGTCTCCTCAGAGTCTTTTCTTCAGGCTGAACAACCCCAAGTATCTCAGCCTGTCCTCAGAGGGATGGAACACCTCTCCTCTGATCATTTTTGTGGCCCTCCTCTGGACCCGCTCCTCTCCACCTGCTCCAGAGCTGGGTGCAGTACTCAAGGTGGGGTCTCACCAGGGCAGAGTAAGGGACAGAATCACCTCCCTCGACCTGCTGGTCACAATTCTTTTGATGCAGCCCAGGATACGATTGGCCTTCTGGGCCGCGAGTGCACACTGTCAGCTCAGGTCCAGCTTTTCATCCACCAGTACCCCCAAGTCCTTCTCGGCAGGGCTGCTCTCAATCCCTTCATCCCCCAGCCTGTATTGATACTGGGGGTTGCCCCAATCCAGGTGCAGGACCTTGCACTTGGCCTTGTTGAACCTCATGAGGTTCATATGGGCCCACTTCTTGAGCTTGTCCAGGTCCCTCTGGATGGCATCCCATCCCTCAGGCATGTCAGCTGCACCACTCAACTTCATGTCGTCCACAAACTTGCTGAGGGTGCACTTGATCCCACTGCCTATGTCATTGATGAAGATATTAAACAGTACTGGTCGCAATCTGGACCCCTGAGGGCCACCATGGATGCAGGCCAGTATGTGTTGCAAAACATGGATCTCGACTCAGCCATGCGTGAGCATATGCAGTTGCACTAGGAAGCTGCTAAAAAGTCTTGGGCATTTTTAATATTGATTTAGATGACAAACTAGCTGTTCAAGCCTAACAGTGAGGGTGAACTCTTGGTTTTGTCACAGCTGTGCTTTTTGGCACTGCTGCTCCTGAAGCATGTGTCCATGCCATTACCAGCTCTGATTTGTTCCCATCCAGAATGTTTTTGTTTGTTTTTTTTTGTTTCCCTGAAATGAACATACAGTCAAGATACAGACTCCAATGATTGGTCACTGTCTCCATCTTTTTATTAGATTTTCTGAGGTTGTTTTTTCCCCTGATTTGCTGGATAAAATCCATACAAATGAAATACAAGCACAGTCAGTAAATAATAATGAAAAGGTAAATTCATTTTACAGAGAAGCCAGTGCATGTAAGACATCATCTGGAATGATGCTGGTGGTTTTTTTTTTTTTTTTTTTTTCACAACTATTACAGTCTTTCAAAATTAATATCTGGCTTTTAGGCTCTATAACGGTTTGTGTGACCTCTTCTTACCCTTTGGCTAATAAGAAAAATGATATTGTTTTTAAATACAAGACAGACACAAGATATGATAGTTCCAAGGATAAACCCGATAATTCTGTTAAATAGCATGGGATGGGCAAGTGCTTGGCTCAGTGTTCCAAATTGCAGGCTGGTGATGGGACCACCTTTGGGGCAGGGGGGTGTGGAGTTGCCCTGCAACATGGTGAGGAGGCACAGAGAAATCTCCCTGCCAGCTTCCTACTTCTCCTCTGTTGGC